ACACAACTTTTTTGTGTGTGATGAGAACTCTTAGGATTTACTATTTTAATAACTCAGATAAAGCATACAACCTGATGTAAAGTTCTGCATTACATCCCAGGTCTTATTTATCTTACAAAGTGGAAGCTTGTACCTTTTGACCACCTTTATCCAATTTTCCCACTCCCTGCCTCTGGTACCCACAAATCTGATCTCTTTGAGTTTGGGTTTGTTTCTTTTTTTGGGGGGGAGGGGGGGCTGTTTTTTGTTTTTAGATTCCATATACTGGATAAGTGAGATAATACAGTATTTGTCTTTCTCTGTCAGACTTATTTCACTTAGCATAATGACCTCAGGGTCCACCCATGTAGTCATAAATGGCAGGATTTTTCTTCTTTGTTATGAATGGATAATATTCCATTGAATATCAATAACTATTTATTGAAAACCTGTTACTATATGTGAAGCCACCTTTCCTATGTCTTAGGGCTGAAATTTTGATACTGTCCTTCTACAGCTCACTTAAGAGTTTTTGTTGTTTTTAAAATGAACATGTTAGTGTGTCATCCATGTGCACATGTGCGCGTGGTCACATATGAATCAGCGTGTGGAAGGGTATTGAGGACTACTGCCCTAAGGAGTTCAGGTCTCATAGAATCCTTTGAATATCATAAAATTGAATCTTTTTAGTTTTACAAGGCTGCTATTAAGGAAAGCAGACATGCTCTTTAAGGGTCATTGGCAAAGAATACTGAGCCAGATGGATTAATCCTGTATAACAATTGTTTTTTTTTCAGTACACACAGAGATATGGCTTACACGATGGTAAGTCATAGGTAAGATGGAAAAAATTCTTTGAAGGTTAGAGTCTGGATTTTCTTAGTAGACGTTTGTTGTTTTTTATTCCTAAAATTGTTCAAGTCCTTAAAAAAATTCCATTTCCCAATTTTGCCTATACTTCCTCTTAGAGTATTGAGCTCCTAAATATTTTTTCTTTTAAACTTGCCTCACTTATGTCTTCTTCCAGATTTTTTTTTGAGCAAAGTTCTTCTTAATATCTTTATTCTTTTTTAAAAAAATATATTTTATTGATTTTTTACAGAGAGGAAGGGAGAGGGATAGAGAGTTAGAAACATCGATGAGACAGAAACATCGATCAGCTGCCTCCTGCACACTCCCCACTGAGTATGTGCCCGCAACCAAGGTACATGCCCTTGACCAGAATTGAACCTGGGACCCTTGAGTCCGTAGGCTGACGCTCTATCCACTGAGCCAAACCGGTTAGGGCAATATCTTTATTCTTTAAAAAATATTTTTTAATTGATTTCAGAGAGGAAGGGAGAGGGAGAGATAGAAACATCAATGGTGAGAGAGAATCATTGATTGGCTGTCTCTTACATGCCCCCCACTGGGATCAAGCCCCAAACCTGGGCGTGTGCCCTTGGCTGGAATTGAACTTAGGACCCTTCAGTCCGCAGGCTGACGCTCTGTCCGCTGAGCCAAACCGGCTAGGACTATCTTTATTCTTTTTAATGCCACTTCCCCCCATCTTAATTGCTCTTATCTGGAACTTTTCCAATTCATTTTCTATTTTATGTAATTTATCAACCAGAACTATACTCAGGTTTGGGCACATAAAAGCCTTACATGAAGAGCAATGTGATGGTCTTTTTTAGTTTTCAATGCTTTTCTTCATTTTAAAATTCTAATATCTTGGTTTCTCCATCTGAAGCAAATTAGACTAAAGCCCTCACTAAGTTTGCAGGGAGCTGACTCCTAGATCTTCCTTTCTAAAGAACTATACCTTTTTCATTATAAAAGCAATATATAGTTTATTACAAGAGCACTTAAGTGTCTTAGGGAAAATTTGGAAACTAAAGAAAGTAAAAAGAAACAATCTGTTTTGAGTTTTGGTATACTTCCTTATAGTCTTTTTAACCCATATAATATTTTTATATATTAGTATGCATTTTATATCTTTTCTTACACTTAATTTTAGATAAATATTTTATACACCAGTAGCCTGGTGCTCGAAATTCGTGCACATTAAAAGGGAATTAATTGTGGAAATATTTTAATATTGCTATTTGCCCTTTCTCTATAATAGAAGTGTGAGAGATGAAAGGAAATTAGTAAAATGTATATGAAAATCATATATAAATTTATTAATAAACAGTAACAAAAGGATATAACAGCAACAGAGGCATGATATAAAAACGACAAAAACATGATATGAAAACAACAAAAACATGATATAAAAACAACAAAAACCTGATATAAAAACAACAGTGATGCAAACAATGACTGATAAAGTGATTAAATTTATTCTAATATCTCCCTGTACACCACATTAAGAGTGAAAACACTTTCAGAGTGCTTGACTAATTTCCCTTGTGCTGAAGTATTTAGAACTTTAACGTCACATGCTCTTTGAACTCGAGAGAAAGCAACATATAACTGATCATGTGCAAAAACGGGTTCAGGTAGGACTATGCCTACTCTGTCAAAGTTTGTCCTTGTGGTTTATTAATAGTCATCACAAATGCTGGCATCACGGGAAACTGTCATCGAATTAATTTAAATGGGAGGCCAGTGTCAGATGGGAACAAATCAATTCTTGGAATCAGAACAACCTCTCCCTCTGCAGATCCTGTTAATACTTCAGCTTCGATAATGTTAGATCGTAATCTTTTGATAATAAATCTGGTACCATTACAAAGACCCCATTTACTATTGAGATTTCTCAATAGCATGATGATTGCACCCACTTTCAATTTTAACTTATGACACGGCATTCCTGAAGGAGTAATACTATTAAGAAATTTGATGGCAAAATTTTCCTTTTTAGCATCATACGTGGAATCAATGGAATCATCACTCAAATATGTGTGAAAATCTCCATCGAGTATATCCAAAATTTCTTCATTTAATTTTTGAACATGCTCATTTTTTTGGACAAAGAATTGCACGTTTAGATATATTTTTAATATTATCTATAGATATACTATTTCCAAAGGTAGCTTCAATAATAGATCCATTACAAATTATTTCACAGGAGATTTCAATAATATCCATTCTTAAATGAAAACTGCTATCAAGTTTTACTAACTATTCACTATAAGCAGAATCCTCTGATCTCATATTTGTTTTAAGAGACAACTTTCTGAAACATCCCCAAACATTATAGTACTTTAAATTCATTTGTACTATGGCCGATCGCATAGCATGTGGTACAATACTGAGACATTGTCGAAAATCCCCTCCAAGAAGGAGAACTTTCCCACCAGATACAACATTCAAATTCATAATTTCTCTTAGTAATCTGTCTAAGGCGTTTATAGCATGACTGGATGCCATGGTGCATTCATCAATAATGAGAAGTTGGGCCTTTTTAATAGTTTTAGCAACTTCACTGTTTATATCGAGTCTAGAAATTGAAGTTTCATTTCATGGAATTGGTCATTTATATAGGGAATGAAAGCTTCTTCCACCGAGAAGTAAATTTGCAGCAATTCCTATAGACGCTGTGGGTAAAACAGTACCACCACAACCTGTAATATAATTTATTAAAACTTTATAAAGATATGCCTCCAGGCTCCGAGGGCCCATTCCTGCCTCAAACCTCGCCCTCCCGGGAAACAGTTCCCACCACGACCTCTAATATAATGTATTAAAACTTTGTACAGATATGCAGGTGAATAGGATTCCTAGCTGGCAGGCCCCTGACAGAAAGCTGGCCACCTGTCGATTCCATGAGGAGTGGGGCTCCCTCCTCCCTCCTGTCAGGGTCCGGGGTGCAGGTGAATGGGGTTCCTGGCTGTCAGGCTACTGACAGCAAGCTATCCAACAGCAGATTCTGTGAGGAATGGGGCTGCCTCCTCCCTACTGTCAGGGTCTGGTTTGAAGGCCAGACTCAGTACTTACATGCTCTGCTCCGAGGGCGGGTTCCTGCCTTAAACCTCGCCCTCCGGGGAAACAGCGGGGGGAGGGCACAGCCGTTTCCAAGACGACCCCTGTAGGACTGACTTCCTTACCGTTGGTCGAGCTTCTGGACGTGATGTTACACCCAGGGTTTTTGTATAAGTAGATTTTAAATGCTTTATAAAAATTATTCTTAACTGCATAGGATTTGGTGTATAAATATATTCTTAATCCACTTAACCATTAATTCCCATGTTGTTGAAAATACTTTCCTGTTGTAAGTACTTTGTCATTAAAAATATATATTTTTATTGATTTCAGAGAGGAAGAGAGAGATAGAAACATCAATGATGAGAGAGAATCATTGATTGGCTGCCTCCTGCATGCTCCATACTGGGGATCCAGCCCCAAACCTGGGCATGTGCCATGACTGGGAATCGAACCATGACCTCCTGGTTCATAGACTGCCGCTCAACCCCTAAGCCCTGCAGGCCAGGCTCTTTCATTTTTAAAAATCTTGTCCTTTCCCATGTTGCCAGGTATTTTGTTTTTCTTATCCTATTCCTGGGTACTATGATTAAATATTCATGTAAGCTACTACCCATCGTCAAACAGACATCTCTATATTTATATTTCTTTATGGTATCTAATGGCTCGGGAATTGTTTTCTTAAAGAAATTTTCTCCCCCAAATTGTGTTGGTAGTATATGACACTTTCATACCTTGTGGATGCTCATTAAATGTTATTTCTCAGGATACTTTCCCATAGTAATTGGAAGGTAACACTGATCTCAGCTATTTCTCCTTGGCCACTATTTCCTTTTATTTCGTTGTACGTGTGTGTGTGCATGCTACCTTTATTTTAATTGTATGTTGTCCTCCTGAGTGATGTAGTTGAGGACAGTATCAGACTTTCAATCTTATGCACTCTGTGAGTATAGTTAATTTAATAATGCTGCTATCTTATTTTACCAAAAGTTTTAAAGAATAATGGTAGCATACTAATAATATAATTAATAATATTAGTATTCAGCTTATTCTCAGTAAAATAGTCTATTTACAGTGACATCTAAGCTTTTTGTTTTTCCTTCCATTTCCAGGTTGCCATCACGAAAGCCAAAGTGGATTTCTCCAGTGTAGTGTGCCTGCCCCCTTCCGTCATTGCTGTGAATGGGCTGGACGGAGGAGGGGCTGGCGAAAATGATGATGAACCAGTGCTGGTGTCCCTGTCTGCGGCCCCCAGCCCCCAGAGCGAAGCTGTTGCCAATGAACTGCAGGAGCTCTCCTTGCAGCCCGAGCTGACCCTTGGCCTCCACCCTGGCAGGAATCCCAATTTGCCTCCACTTAGTGAGCGGAAGAATGGTGAGTAGACAGGGAATTATTGCATTGCCTGGTTTTATTTTATTTTATTTTATTTCTCTTAAAAGTTTCTTATAATCATACTCTTTCTTGTAAAACAGAGAAATAGTAAGTTTAGGTGATCATTGTGAACCCAACATCTTCTTTCTGGGTTATTATAATTGCTTTTTAATTTGTCTTCCTACTTTTCTGCTTCTCCCTCCTCACTCCTTCCATAGATTCATTAATTCAGGAAATATTTATTGAGCATCACTGTATTATAAACTGCTAAAATTAGGGAGTGAGTTGTGTTGAATTGTATGTGGCTGTAATTTATTTTCATTGCTTTATAATAAATCCATTTTATGAATATACTGTAATTTGTTCATTTTACTTTTGATGGATATTTGGGTTGTTTTCATTTGGGACTATTATCAGTCATGGTCCTATGAAATTTTTGTACATGTCTTTTGGTATACTTGTTTGGATTTTTATTTGAAATATATCATTTATAGGTTAATGGGGAGAATATACACTTAAAACATTTTTAAATTTATTGAGTTTTGAGAGAGAGGAAGGGAGGAGAGAGAAATATCTATTTGTTGTTCCACTTACTTATGCATTCAATGGTTGTTTCTTGTATGTGCCCTGACCAGGGATCGAACTCACAACCTTGGCATATTGGGGCAATACTCTAACTAGCGGAGCTACCCGACCAGGGGCCACATTTTAAATATTGGGAATTCCCAACCAGTTGAATCTTTCAATAAAATAGGCCTCCTTTAATATCTTTCCTTTTTAAAAAAAATTCTTTGTTTTTTGTTCATCCTTACTTGAGGATATTTTTTCCATTAATTTTTAGAGAATGGAAGGGAAGGGGAGAAGCAGAGAGAGAGAAAAACATCAATATGAGAGAGACACATAGATTGGT